TTCCGTTATTGAATATTATAGGTTTGTAAACTCAGAATATATGTATTGAGAGAAAGAAAGCTCCTGTCCAAGAGAGGGACAGGAGGGGGTCCCGAGTGGGTTGTTCCCCCATGATTGCTTTTTTTGTTGTTGAGTAAAGTTCCTTTTATATTTTAGATATTAATCCTTTACCAGATTTATAGTTCAGAATTTTTTTTGTACCAGGAATCAAACGCAGGACCTTGTAATGGCCAGGTATGTGCTTGTACTGCTGAGCTCCATCCCCAGCCCAAGTTTGGCAATAATTCCTCCGACTCTACAGATTTCCTTTTTGTTTTCATAACTGTTACTTTCCTTTGCTGTGTAGAAACCTTTTTAGTTTGATAGAATCTCTCTTATTTTTACTTTTGCGATTTTGGTGTCACACTCAAAAAAATCACCATCAACATCAAAAAGCTTTTCTCAGTGTTTTCTTCTAGGAATTCTACAGTTTTAGTCTTATAGTTAAGTTTTAATTTTTATATGTTATAAGGTAAGGGCCCAATTTTATCCCTTTTTGCAGGTGGATATCCACAATCCTAACACTGTTTGTCGGGAGAGCACCCTTTCTCCTCCGGGTATTCTTCGCACATAAATCAAAGATTAATTCATCACCTATGGTTGTGTTTGTTTCTAGGCTCCTGGTGCTGCCCCACTGGTCTTCCTTGGTCTACATGTTTATGCCTGTCCACACTGTTATAATTCTGTATTATATTTTGAAATCAGGAAATATGATGCCTCCACCTTTATTGTCTTTCCACAGATTGCTTTGGTCTGTCATGCCCTTGTTCTCCAGTTTTTTTGGGGGAAAAATAATTATAGGTTCCTAATAAGTTCTCTTTAATTACCACTTTTTTCCATAATTTTATTGAGAAATAAATAGCAATGAGACAGTTTCAAATCAAATTGAAAGGACAGTTTCAATAATTAACACATTGCATAAATTCTTCCTAGAGGTGAATTGCGGACAATACAAGATGCGGACATGATATCCTATTTACAAACACCATTGGAACAAATCCCTCTACTCATTAAGAGAATGTAACTATATATCTATCCTAACCATTTTGAATACACAGATGCAAAATGGACATTCATTTGTATCCTCTTTTTTTGTTAAGTTCCATTATTTGAATAGTATAGGTGTGTAAACTCAACAAAATATTCTAAAAGAGTCCAGTAGTCCATAATAGTATTGGGTCTTCTGTTTAACTGGCAATGTCAGAAATTATTGACCTGAGTCCCCCACAGCTCAACTTAACAGCATGGCTTTATTTCTTATAATTTCGTCTTCATACTTTTCTGCTGGATGGTTAAGACCAAGGTAAAGCAGGACCTATGCAACAAGAGTTGTAGCTTTTGGGTCTGAGAAGGTCAGTGAAATGCCCTCAGGATTTGTCCTGAGATCCTGTACCTCAGATTGTAGAACCTTTATCAGTGCAGCCATGTGGATGAGTCACGGCCAATGCTTGGCCAATGTGCTCTCTGTGAAAGCCTGAGAGAGTATCTTCTCCCCATGTGACTCTCCTTAGGCCCACTCTATGTCATCGATCACTTTCCTCTTTGGCCCCATAATCTTCTTGATCAGAAAATTTGGGACACTACCGAGGTACATGACGTTACAGTACAGGTTCTCATATGTCCTGAGTCTTAATTGACCTTAGAAGGCTAGGGCCAAAATGTTGGCTTTCCTTGTATCCCTCCTTTTTCTCTAATTTTGGTCTGCAAACTTAGGTTGTTAACCATCCAGAAGAAAAGCTTATTGTTATTATCAAACAATTTGGGCTATCAATCTTAACCTCACTATCTCACTGCATTTCAAACATCTTAGGCATAATAAGGAACAGGTATTTTTCATCAAGTATTGATATGTTGAACTTTAAGTCCCTACAGAATATGATGAAAAAACATTTAAAAATTAGAATATATTTTTAAAAATAGACATAAATTAATTGCCACTTTTAATGACTAAATAACTAACTGCACATTGCTCTGTATGTAATTCTCATTCTAGAGTGTGAATGTAGCCATTCTTCAATAGGGTCTGACTTAATTGTCTGTAAAAGGCCACCATTTGGGCCAAAGTACTATTGTGAGATTATAGGGTTGGTTGTTGTATGTTGGTTTATTGGTTGGTTTTTAGTCTCAACACTTCTGTGAACTCTTGGGCTTAGTTTTCAGTTTGATTTGGTCCTTTTTTCCTCCATAGGAGGGAGAAGTACAAATGATGTATGAGTCTTGCTAACCATAATCACTCATTCTTTTTTCCTATGGTACTTAGGAGCACCTAGCTAAAAGCCTGACGGATACATATGCAGCGCTGCTGTGTCATCAGTCCTTGATCCTGGCCATTAACTCCAGGTATGGAAACTGTATTGCACGATTATTTCATTGGTTGAATATCTTGAAAATATTTTTGAAGCATAGACCAGGTGTAGTGGCACATGCTTATAATCCCAGCATGCAGGAGGATTGCTGTGAGTTTAAAGTGAAACCTGGGCTACATAGTGAGTTCAAGACCAGCCTAAACTACATACTGAGACCCTGTCTCAAAAACAAAAAAAGTTGTGAGAAATAAAAAATTATTCCAAATTCTACCATCTTAATTAGCAACCATTATTTCTTTCTTATGTCTTTTCCCGTGTTGCTGTATTGCATAGATAAGCAGATTATCTTTCTAAGTAATGATGGCCAGGTTTACTTGCCATCAATTTGAAGATGCATCCCAATATCAGGAACACTAACCTGAGTGTGGTGCTGCTTGCCTGTAATACAAACACTTAGGAGGCTGAGGCGGGAGGATTGCTATGAGTTTGAGACCAGCCTGGACTACAAAGTGAGTTCAAAGCTAGCCTGAACTGCATAGCAAGACACTGTATCAAAAAGACAAAAAAGAAAAGCAATGAAAGAGAAAAAGATGAAAAAGAGGAAAACTAAAATTCCTATAAACATGATGTCCTTGAATAGAGAAAGTGTGCCAGCAAGAGAGTTCAACTGTCTAAAGCTCACTATGGCTTTGTGAACCTGATTGGAATGTTTATGACTTCTAAATAATTGATTGTGTTGGGGGCCGGGGAGATGGCTCAGTGGAATAAGTGCTTCCCTGGCAAGCGCAAGGGACAGAGTTCAATCCCTGGTTCCACAAAAAAATAAAAAATAA